ATGTACCTAAAATTGGATCTGCAAATATCTTTGAATGTAATTGTCTAAATCTAAGATACGTTTTCACTCCATTGGTTCGCAACAAATGCTACCGAGACTTACTGAATGCTTTGTGGGACCTATTGTCTAGACATGAGGAAATAAACTCGGAACTAAACATAACCTCCCAAGTAATTTGGTATAATTATAACATTTTAATCGATAGAAAAACAATTGTTTATACAAATTCGAAGGGAAAAGGTATACTATTTATAAATGACCTTAATAATGTTGGCAAATTTCTATCCCATGAAAGATTTAATACCACATATAATCTATAAAATAATTTTCTATATCATTGCGGAGTCATTAATGCAGTTAAAGCCTTCATTAAAAGCAAACAAATCAATTTAGAAAACATCAACAAAACAGTAAACCCAATACAACCATATGTCTTCAACCTTCTGACAAGTCAGAAAACTGGTTGCCATTTATATTACACGGCTTTATTGAAATAAAAACAAATCGTAATCAACACTGTATGAGATGGAACGTAATATTAGGAAATGAAATTGGAATTAATATAGATACTTGGCACAACTATAACCATATTCACTTTCGTTGTACACAAGATACAGATCTCCAGTGGTTTCAGTACAAACTGCTTCATCATATTTTGCCAACGAATAGTAGACTTTTTAGAATGAAATATATTGACCATAACCAATGTAGCTACTGCTCAAATTCTATAGAAACAACACCCCACATCTTTTATGATTGTAGCAAGGTTACTCATATATGGCTGAACCTCCAAGATTGGCTAAATGATAAACTGGATTTAAATTTGAATTTCATAAGACAACAAATTCTTCTTGGATTCTGTCGTAAACATAACGACCTAATCAATGTGATCCTCATCCTTTTCAAAAGTATTATTTTTAATCGTAAAACATCCGGAAATATGCCAAAATTTCAGTTCATGTTGAAAAGGCTTACTCAATATCATAATTTAACCAAATATGCAGCTATGTTAAGCTCCAGAGTCGACGCTTTTTACAAATTCTGGTCGACGTGTCACAACCTGTTCAACGACTGATTTATTTTATATTGTCATTGCTACATGCTCTGTATAACCAAACTTGACTTCATCCCTTGATCTCTACCCTGCATGATGGAGCCCATGTGAAACTGTAAAATAGTATGAAACATTAAAACAAATATAATAAGAATAAAACATGTTCTCTCTTCTGGCGGTATTCGTTCCCACCTTCCCGTATATCTATTCTTAGGGGGAGTGCGACAGATCTTACTAGAAACAGCAGTCGGTGTGATTCTCTGGTCGTAATGGTGGTCAGGTAATATTCTGTATTCAATAATGATTTAAATCATTGATAGGTGGTCAGTGTTCTAGATTCACAAACTGTGTAACACCATTCTTGCTGATTTCTCTGTAGTGATATTATTGCGAAGAGCGCCTTATTTGCCGTCAAAACTAAATTGTTAACAGCTTTTCTCCATGAAATTCGGGATGGTAAAATGATGCCTAAACAGTTGTAATAAGATACAACTGTAACGTCTATATTCCCGTATTTCACCTGTTCTATACTATTTATAGGTCCCGTTCCTAAACACTAGTATTTCAGTCGTATTCGTGTTGATTTCTAGACCCCATTTTCTACAAAATGTCTTCAAGATATATATTTTCCGCTGCAACCTTATATAGTATGCGGGAAATTATTGAGAATTTTAGGAATATGTTTAATAGGATTTCTAGTATAAACAACCTTGACCAGCTATCAAGTGCTTGGTTTCATTCAAGAGAGACAACTCCGTTAATCCTTTTTCATTAGTTTGTGAAGAGTTATCCCCCTCTGTTTACTTGCTAGCAGACGACATTTTCAGTGATCCTCATTATGGATGATTTAGAGAAGAGGAAGTTGATTTTAGAGTATTATAACAAGGACAACAGATCAGCTAAAGTGATTTCAAGTAGAACAGGCATCCCTTTGTCCACTGTTTATCGTGTTTTGAAAAATATTGCAAATGGATATGGCATTGAGCACCAGGGAGGCGCAGGTAGGCCCAGAAAATTGACTGTCGGTGACAGGAAGCGGCTTGGTATTCTTGTTTCTAAAAACAAACGAAGGAGTTTAGAAAACTTAAGGCTGGATATGATTGATAGAGGAACTGTGGCTGTCTGTAAGGAGACAATTAGAACTGAGCTGCATGCAACGGGTTGGCAGAAAAGTCGAGGAGTTCCATCACCGATCATGAAACCTGAACAAAAGGAGCGACGGTTGAACTGGTGCTTACAGCATATAAATTTTAACTAGGACAATGTAATTTTCTCAGATGAAAGTTCTGTGTGGCTGTTTCCTAATACACTGAAATTCTGGACCAAACAAACTGAAAAACCTTTGTATCAGCGCCCAAAGTAGTCCGAAATTTAACGTGTGGTGTGGCATATCTGTGTTAGGGGCAACGCTCCTCTGTGTATTTGAAGGGAATATGAACAGTGAGCGGTACACTGATATTCTCGAGGGATATTTACTTCCATCTGCTCACGTGTTCTATGGAATTTTTTTTTGACATTATTAGATTGGCCAAGCTATAGCCCTGACCTAAATCCAATAGAAAATGTTTGGGGACTTATGAAGGAAAGTGTCAATAAGACAAATCTGACAAATATTGCAGAAATGAAAGAAGAGGTGGTCCGATATTCGGACAGCGTGGACCACGACTTTCTAACTTCTTTGATCAGTAGTATGCCCCACCGCATTGAAGCCTGCATTGCTGCCCATGGTGACTTGACGAAATACTAACTGTTCACCTGTCTTTGAATCTGGAGTTATGTTCTGCTAATATTCACATTTAATACGTGAGTACTGAGTGAAAAAAAAAAATATTACAATCTTTAAATTCTCAATAATTTCTGGATGAATAGCCTTGGTGACCAATGTGTGTGTAGCCTTGGTGACCAATGTGTGTGTAGCCTTGATGATCAATGTGTGTGTAGCCTTGGTGACCAATGTGTGTTTAGCCTTGGTGACCAATGTGTGTAGCCTTGGTGACCAATGTGTGTGTAGCCTTGGTGACCAATGTGTGTAGCCTTGGTGACCAATGTGTGTGTAGCCTTGTTGACCAGTGTATGTGTAGCCTTGGTGACCAATGTGTGTGTAGCCTTAGTGACCAATGTGTGCGTGTGTAGCCTTGCTGACCAATGTGTGTGTGTAGCCTTGGTGACCAGTGTATGTGTAGCCTTGGTGACCGATGTGTGTGTAGACTTAGTGACCAATGTGTGCGTGTGTAGCCTTGCTGACCAATGTGTGTGTGTAGCCTTGGTGAGTAATGTGTCTTTTGACGTGTGGCCTACGGTATTGCTCGGTGATTGACAAAAAGTCAATCCACAAATAAATGTTTCATTTCGTTCGAATGCATATTTTGTCCGTTCCTCTTTTATTATCTTCCAGTATTTTCTAGGTTCTTATTGAAAGGTGTACTAACCATCAAGTTATACCTACAACACTTACTTTCTGAGGTATTAAGATTGAAAATCATTTATACGGTCGATTCTTACAATTCACAGGACCCTGTCCAAATTGTCTAAATACTCAGCATTTCCTCGCGGTATTGAACAATTATTAACAATTAAACGCATGTTAGGTAAAGCAGCTTTACGTTATCATACACCATTGTATACAACTGACAAACGAAGAAATACGCTACCACCGTGACCAAAAGCCTTCTGATAATATACAGTAGCTGTTTGATTGTGTATCTTTAAACCAAACATACTTTTAGCTCTAAATGCTCACATGAATTTCCTTCTAGGGAATTCCAGAATTATTATTTTGACGCTATTACCTCGGCATCCTGTCTGCAATGAGAGCAAACCTGTAAAAAATGTTATTTGATTAATTATACTTGCATAATTCACCAACTTCTTAGATTACATCACTATTTGTGGAGTATGTAGTGTATTTGCTGTAATATATATGCATGTCTGTCTATATGTCTGTCTGTCTGTGTGTGTATGTCTGTCTGTCTGTGCGTGTATGTCTGTCTGTCTGTATATCTGTATGCATGGATGTCTGTCTGTGTATGTATATATGTATGCATGGATGTCTGTCTGTCTGTCTGTAAATCTGTATGTATGGATATGTCTTTCTGTATATCTGTATGTATGTATATCCTGTATGTATGTATGTATGTCAGGCTTACGTACCAATGAAGAAGATCGATCTGATTAAGGATGTGCTGATGCTGTGTCGCATTTGGTTGGATTGTAAAAGTCTAAAGAAAAATGTCAAGTGAAACATATGTGTAAATATTATGTTATATATATATATATGTGTGTGCAATGTGTACAGTGACATGAATAAATTATGTAAACAAAGTATTCTAGGTGTTTTTCGTAATTATTTTAATCTCTTTACAGCAACAGACTGTAGTTAATCCGACCAGTGTTTACCTACCTACAATGGCCGACTGAACCTCTACCTAGAACAATAGGTGCAGGCACAGTGAGGTGTCCCCGACCTGGTTTGGCGTGGAAATCAATGACAATTAATTATCAAGGTTCGTTGTTGTAGTCCCTTTTCATCACATCACATACCTGTTTCATACCTACTTGGCAACAATACAAGAAACTGTATCGAAACGTCGCATCACCTAAATAAAGAAGTTGTTCATCCATAAAGTTTGTCCTTATCAGACTCTTCAACTTCTGAAAATGCCACTCAAAGAAGTACGTTCTTTTATGCATAAATATTGTCACAACCATAGCGGGACGCGGATTGACTACGATCTGTCTCATCCGTCACCTATTCGTCCCTTTCCGTTATCTGCAAGGCTCGTCACGGAATAACACGAGTTGTCACGTATTGGTCCAGCCTGGTTCCCTGGGTCTGTGTGCGCCTGCGCTAACGCTCGGAGTGTCGGAGCGTTAGCGCAGGCGCAACAGACCCAGAGAACCAGGCTGGTATTGTTCCTGTCTCTGGAAAAAAACACCTGGCCGAGTACGTTCTAGGGGAGACAACTCTAAATATTGGAGCTTGCCGGAAGTTTCGTCATTTGGTCACGCTGCAAGTCATTTCGCTTCCTATGATGTTCCACGCGATGTGCAAGCACGCGCTGTTTTCTTAATGAGCACACATCAGACACACACGGAGATTAAACACATGATTTATTGCCGCCGGTAAGCTTTGTGGCACGTGCCATTGTGAAATACCTCGCTGAACGTGACAGAATGAATTTGACTTTGGCTGACAGTGCACCAACACGTCGTCTGCTAGTGTGAGGCAAGGAATTCACGTCTGCTTTCGTCCTGGCGGGTTTGTATTCTCCTCTCATAGTTGGCGACAAACATTAATCAAAGCAAAGCCATTGAACCCGTTATCACGTGCTTCCCTTGACCCAGTCGCCCGGAACACTGGCTTGCTTCACGCACGGCTGTCACTATACATGAGTACGTTATTACAACAGCAATTGAGCTGAATGACAATCACGCAAAACACTGACTTGCCACTGCTTACTGTCGACCAGATGGTGCCATACCTGACACATTTCACACAAACTCAAAACCACATTTCTACTGACTGATCACAGTCAACATACCTGCGTCCTGTTTACAACATGTCCGAGAAGCATGGCGCGGTGGAGTTTGTGTTGGGGGGAATAGCCACATGTGGGGCAGGCTTTTTCACAAACCCCCTGGAGGTTGTGAAGACGCGAATGCAGCTCCAGGGTGAACTCCAGTCAAGGGGCCAGTACGCCATCCACTACAGGAACGCTGCCCATGCCTTCTACACCGTAGCCAAAAACGATGGAGTATTGGCCCTGCAGAGTGGCCTGGTCCCTGCACTGTGGTACCAGTTCTTCATGAACGGCATCCGTCTGGGCAGCTACCAACTCCTGATAAACCTGGGGATGACCATGGACAAAACTGGACATCCAAGCTTTGTACGCAGCATCATGGCTGGAGCATTTGCAGGATGTGTTGGAGCCATGGTCGGGAGCCCATTTTACATGGTATGTTCAGATGGGAGTGTGTTTGTAGGGAGGAGCCCATTTTACATGGTATGTTCAGATGGGAGCAGTGTCCGAAATAGCAACTGGCCTGCTAGCCCATGTCTAGTAACAATCCAGTCGGGCCAGTAAATCTCCAGTCACTGGCCCGACTGGCTAGTGAATTTTCATGGGGTCATTTTCATGTAAATGTATCACTCTCTCCGACTTGTTCGGTTGTAATACACTTTTTAATCATGCAAGATTATGGCCTGATAAAGATGTTCATCGTATTAGCAGCTTAATGATGAAACCCTTGTCATTCCGACAATATCTTACACTCATCTATTTTTGTAACCTATTGCTTAGTTTCTACATTCAAATTTTGGGCTAGTGAATTATTTTGTGGGCTAGTAACTTTCAGGCATAGCTAGCCCAGCTGACTAGCAAGATTTGGAAACTATTTCGCACACTGGATGGGAGTGTGTTTGGTAGGATATGTGGAGTAGGAGCCTACTTATATAAGTTGGGAAGTGCCATGATTCCGTCATAGCTATAAACATCAATATTTTGTGTCCATAGTTGTACAGATCTAGTCTGTAGTATCATGATTCTGTCAAGAACAGTCACGATATGGCTGAAATATTGCCGATGTGACTTAAAATCTTAACTCACTCACTCACTGTCAAGAACACTGAATATCGATAATAAATGTCCACAGTAGTAGGTCTTATACCTATATTGACTATGTAGTATCATGATTCGCAGTGGATGCTAAATATTGATAAGTGTCCATGGTAGAAGGGAGACTACTCATATTGGCTCATTGAAGAACTGTGATACTTCACAGCACCTATAAGTAGGCCCCATACTACCATGGACACTTATTATCAATATTTAGCATCCATCACAGAAGCATGCTGCATAGCCAGTATTAAGTGTGCATGGTAGTACATGTATAAAGCCTGAAACTTGTAAACTTTGATTATCTTCTCATCGTTGTTGAGACTAACTATTAATTTAAACTGATTATTCAGAATATTACTTGAATACACAATGCCATTTAGAAAGTGATCAGATGTAACATGTGTTTTATCTGGGATTGCACTTTCTCAGTAAAGCACAGATTCTAGTACTTTAGTTGCGTTGAGTCCCATCTAGGATTCAAACCCACACCCACCTAATCGCCAGCAAGTCAGCCGCCTAACCCATTCAGCCACGGCTTCTTCCACAATTATTATGATTATGTCTTATACCTTGCACTCGGCAAGGACTTTAGTTATCTCTCACCTATTCCAGGCCACTGGTGCACATGGTGCATGACTGTGTTTGTGTGTGTGCAGGTGAAGACCCATCTTCAGGCCCAGGCTGTACGGGACATCGCCGTGGGGACCCAGCATCCCCATGAGAGCATGAGTCATGGGATACGAACTATATACTCCCAGTTTGGGCTGGTGGGATTGTGGCGAGGGGGTCAACGCAGCCGTCTGCCGGGTAACAGTAGGATCCGCATCACAGCTGTCCACTTTTTCTGTCGCCAAGGATTACATTGTGGAATACAAGGTTTGTGCTGTGTGTTTGTAGACAGCTGTATGCCTTCCTATGTGAAATAGTTTACTGCCAGAGGATGCAGCTGGCGACTCCTTCAGTGATTTGCAATTATTTTGTTGATGGAAACATTGTATTACTCCTGTTCCATGGTAATCACTGTTGTTTGCAATATTGCACCGTACTGTGCAAATGTATTGTCTAGTTATCATGTTAGACTCTGTAGGTACATCCAGGGTCCACATGCAGAGAGCTATGTTGGTGTTATGACTATAGTAAGTCTGGGTTAAAGTATGGGATTTGGGGTCTTCATAGCGCTGACATAGCTTTGCTTGTGTATGATAGATCACCAGCATATGTTCCTTCATCTAGTCACCACTGATGCATAGAGCTTAGGACTATACATACATTAACACGTCACAATTTAATTCTGGACTCACAAAAGTCCAGAAACTCTCCGCCCTGTGGCCGCTTTCTGACAAAGGATCTGACAAAATTAAATATGCAGTTGTCATGAATATGTGCTAAGGATGAAAAAATGAAAAAAAATTTTTTCGAAAACTCAAAATTTAAACTACCTCGCCCATGGGCCGGCCCATGAGCCACTGTTCGCCCATGGGCCGCCCATGGCGAGAATGTTTAATTTCGGCTCAGACTTCATGTTTTGGAGGTTGAAAATGAATGAAAGCATGTTTAGAAGTATCACCACACAAAATTTAACTCATTGTGACTTAATTCGGCTAATTTAGACCGATATTTAAATATCTCGCCCATGGGCGAAAGAAAGTTTGGCCCATGGGCGAGATTTTCTATGTTTGCTCAAAATCATGCTTTTTTCAAGTTTAAAGGTTGTAAATGAATGAAAGCACGTTTATAAGTATCACCACACAAAATTTAACTCATTGTGACTTAATTCGGCTACTTTAGACCGATATTAAAATATCTCGCCCATGGGCGAGAAAACATTTGGCCCATGGGCGAGATTTCCTACTTTTGCTCAAAATCATGCTTTTTTCAAGTTTAAAGGTTGTAAATAAATGAAAGCACGTTTAGAAGTATCACCACATAAAATTTAACTGATTGTGACTTAATTCGGCTACTTTAGACCGATATTAAAATATCTCGCCCATGGGCGAAAGAAAGTTTGGCCCATGGGCGAGATTTTCTATGTTTGCTCAAAATCATGCTTTTTTCAAGTTTGAAGGTTGTAAATGAATGAAAGCATGTTTAGAAGTATCACCACACAAAATTTAACTCATTGTGACTTAATTCGCTAATTTAGACCGATATTAAAATATCTCGCCCATGGGCTTAAAGAAAGTTTGGCCCATGGGCTGAGATTTTCTATGTTTGCTCAAAATCATGCTTTTTTCAAGTTTGAAGGTTGTAAATGAATGAAAGCATGTTTATAAGTATCACCACACAAAATTTAACTCATTGTGACTTAATTCGACTAATTTAGACCGATATTAAAATACCTCGCCCATGGGCATAAAAGAAAGTTTGGCCCATGGGCTTAGATTTTCTATGTTTGCTCAAAAATCATGCTTTTTCAAGTTTAAAGGTTGTAAATGAATGAAAGCACGTTTAGAAGTATCACCACACAAAATTTAACTCATTGTGACTTAATTCGCTACTTTAGACCGATATTAAAATATCTCGCCCCCATGAGAAAACATTTGGCCCATGGGCTTAGATTTCCTACTTTTGCTCAAAATCATGCTTTTTCAAGTTTGAAGGTTGAAAATGAATGAAAGCACGTTTATAAGTATCACCACACAAAATTTAACTCATTGTGACTTAATTCGACTAATTTAGACCGATATTAAAATATCTAGCCCATGCTTAAAGAAAGTTTGGCCCATGGGTGAGATTTTCTATGTTTGCTCAAAATCATGCTTTTTCAAGTTTGAAGGTTGTAAATGAATGAAAGCATGTTTAGAAGTATCACCACACAAAATTTAACTCATTGTGACTTAATTCGCTAATTTAGACCGATATTAAAATATCTCAAGCCCATGAAAGAAAGTTTGGCCCATGGGCGAGATTTTCTATGTTTGCTCAAAATCATGCTTTTTTCAAGTTTGAAGGTTGTAAATGAATGAAAGCATGTTTATAAGTATCACCACACAAAATTTAACTCATTGTGACTTAATTCGACTAATTTAGACCGATATTAAAATACCTCGCCCATGGGCGAAAGAAAGTTTGGCCCATGGGCGAGATTTTCTATGTTTGCTCAAAATCATGCTTTTTTCAAGTTTAAAGGTTGTAAATAAATGAAAGCACGTTTAGAAGTATCACCACACAAAATTTAACTCATTGTGACTTAATTCGGCTACTTTAGACCGATATTAAAATATCTCGCCCATGGGCAGAAAGAAAGTTTGGCCCATGGGCTAGTGATTACTACCTCTGCTCAAAATTCATGTTTTTTCAAGTTCAAGAAGGCAAATTAATGAAAACACGTTTATAAGTATCGTGACACAGTTTTCAACCCATTGTGACTTAAATTCAGCTAATATAGAGTGATATATCAAAATTTTGCCCATGGGCAAGATTTTCTACCTTGCTCAAAATCATGGGTTTTGTCAAGTTTAAAGGTTGTAAATGAATGAAACTATGTGACTTATTTCGGCTAATTTAGAAGCGATGTAGAAAATACCACGCCTATGTTGAAAAAAGTCGACTATGGGCAAACCGTTTCACGCACTTCTGAGCAAAATTTGGCTTTCAAATTTGTGGCTTGTGAAAACATATCAACGTGAGTCAGTAACTATCATGACACTTGCCAAAATTCTGTCTAGGTTTTATGGTAACGAATTACTTCATGTTGTACTTACCGTGAATTTTCATTGGAAAAAATATATAATAAATCATTGAGGATGATCATGATTTATTAATGAAACAAGTGTCACGAACACATAAACACACATTGGGGATCACTTTATGTCTGAGGGCATTTGACATGTCCGAATTGAAATATACAAGAACTAAATGGAAGGCGATATCGTGATAAACTATATACTTACTAGGAACACGCATAAAAACTAGAATGATATACATGTCAATGTATGTTCACAAGAACTACTAAGAACATACTAGTATGTGCCTTTTTCACAATAGGTCAAAGTAAGTGAATAGGTTTAATCTGTAATCACAGAGGATCACTTCAATCAATTATATACAAACACATGTATAAATATAGATATATACACACAAATATCAATCATCTTTATTTACACAGTAATCTTTCATGCCAACAAAAGACCTTAGGATAACGTTACAAAAGCTCGAAATAAAAGATTACCTCTGTACATATCTTAGTAACTAAGACTTTCCTAGATGAGCAAGAATATATTACAAACGAATTTCGCATGACAAAGAAAGCTTATACACATAAAATATCTTGCAAAAGATCGAAATGATGATCAATGTGCATATCTTGTTAACCAAGGTTTCCATTGCCTCATTAAAGTTTACAGTAACTGTGATATATGTTATAATTAGTATCTTCGTTCAGTAAGTGTCATATTTTCATACGTTCATATTCATCTTTTATGTCATATATACTTTTTTCATATTTTAGTCTTAATCAAATATGTTATATGAATTTCCCTTAGGATAATAAAATCTTATCTTATCCTATGTTATCCTATCTCTTATAGAGTTTTTCTCCAGCACTTCGAGTGTTCCCCAGTTTCTGCGCTTGTAAGAAAAAGAGGATCACATGGTAACAATAAGTCTACAGTTGAATTGATTAATATCTCGTTTTACTGGCACCAGTACCGACTCTAATATATCTGGCTATGTTATTAACCCAACGAGCATTTGGGATTTGCCGAGGTTTTCTTATTGACAATTTCAGTTAGCTATTGCTGTGTGGTACGTACATCTTGCACATGATCATTGATAATGAACATTCGTCATACTTATTTCTTCAATGAATGAAGAATTTATTGAAACTTGTCATTAAAATCATATGCCATGTTATATTTGCACAAGTCCTTACGGAAGCCTAATGCTTTTGAAAATCGAACACAGTGGCTACATTAATCTGAGCAAGGATCCTTGCTACTTGGGAAGGCATATATATACACACACACACAAAGATCAATATTTTTACCCAGTAATTTTACATGCCCAAAATGCACATAGGATAACCTTAAAAAAGCTCGAAATAAAAGATTATCCATGTACATATCTTAGTAACTAAGGTGTTCAACGGCTTTCCCAGATGACAAGAATATAATACAGGCTAATTTCGCATGACAAAAAAAACTCATACACATAAAATATCTTGCGAAAGATCGAAATTCAAGATGATCCATGTGCATGTCTTGTTAACCAAGGTTTCCATTGCCTCATTAAAGTTTACAGTAACTGTGATGTCTACATTAACGGGGCCTACTGTTTAATTGTTTACAGGCTGCCGACACCATGAATGGCATGTTGTTTTACACTCTTTCACTTCACATGAATTTGACAGTGATTACCAAATGTTAAATTAATAGTTATGATACACAATCTTGTCAGCTACTTGGGAAGGCATATATATACACACACACACACACACAAAGATCAATATTTTTACACAGTAATTTTACATGCCCAAAATGCACATAGGATAACCTTACAAAAGCTCGAAATAAAAGATTATCCATGTACATATCTTAGTAACTAAGGTGTTCAACGGCTTTCCCAGATCAAAAGAATATATGACAGGCTAATTTCGCATGACAAAAAAAACTCATACACATAAAATATCTTGCGAAAGATCGAAATTCAAGATGATCCATGTGCATGTCTTGTTAACCAAGGTTTCCATTGCCTCATTAAAGTTTACAGTAACTGTGATGTCTACATTAACGGGGCCTACTGTTGAATTGTTTACAGGCTGCCGACACCATGAATGGCATGTTGTTTTACACTCTTTCACTTCACATGAATTTGACAGTGATTACCAAATGTTAAATTAATAGTCATGATACACAATCTTGTCAGCTACTTGGGAA